CAGCCAGGAGTTCAGGTTTTCGCAGAGAGTGTACAGCAGCGAAGGCCTGAGAAGCAAATTAATTAATTAATTAAACTAATTAATTAATTAATTAATTTATTTATTTATTTATTTATTTTTAATGTTAATTCGGTCCGATGAAGGCAGCGGAAGACGCGCTCCTGCTGCAAGCAGCTGCGCCGTCCAGACGCTTCTGCTGCTGCTGCTGCTGCTGCTGTTGCTGCTGCTGCTGCTACTACAGCAGCAACCGTATCGTCATGAACAGAAGCAACACATATTTATGTTCCAAATGTAATTACATAAATGCAATTACATTTGTATAGCTGCAGTAGAAATGCAGGAACTAGTAGCAGCAGGAAAATTAGCAAAAATCTTTGCAGTAGCAGCAGCCGCAGCACAATCACAAGCTGCAGCAGCAGCACCAGCCAGCAGCAGCTGCAGCAGTATCAGCACAAAGACGCCCACAAGCATCAAGCCCATAAGCAGCAGCAGCAGCAGCAGCAGCAGTACTAGCCACAGCAGCAGCAGCAGCAGCAACATCAGCAGCAGCACGGCCCTAGCAGCAGCAGCAGCAGCAGCAGCGTCACCTGATGGTCCTGTCGGGTTCTGCTGCCAGCAACGTGCTGGCGTCGATGAGCAAAGAAATAAAATGATTTAAAGAATTAAAATAATCACATCTTCTTTGCTTCATCACGAACTGGTGCAGCTCCACTGCCACGCAGCTGTCCGTACACCCCGGACGCCCGCTGCTGCTGCTGTTGCGGCTGCTGCTGCTGCAGCAGCCGCAGCAAAGGTTCGGCGGAGACAACGTCGTCAGCGCCAGCGGATTCCCCAGCTTCGCGTACACCGATGGCAGCTTCGCCTGCAGCAGCAGCAGCAGCAGCAATATGTGCAGCAGCAGCAGCAAAATATGCAGCAGCAGCAATAGTCCCGGCAGAAGGAACAACATACGCGGCAGCAGCAGCAGCAGTATTTGCCGCCGCATCTGTAGTGAGTCAAGCAACACCATTATAAGGAGCAGCAAAAGGAAGAAGATGCGCAGCAGCAACAGCAGCAGCAGCAGCCGCAGCAGCAGCAAACCGCCCCGATCCCAAAGACAAGAGCAACCCTGTTCAAACAAGCAATGACAACGGCACCAGCGCCCGCAGCAGCAGCAGCAAGAACAAAAACAGCAACAGCAGCAGCAGCAGCAGCAGCAGCAACAGCAGCAGCAGCAGCAGCTTACCCTTGCCCCTGCTACAGACACTGGGCCCACATTATGGCTGAAGATAGAAGGCAGGCGAGGCGGCAGCAGCTGCGACTGCTGCTGCGGGTCCAGCGCAGGAAGCCGAGGCAGGTGCTGCTGCTGCTGCTGCTGCTGCTGCTCCTGCGGTTGCTGCTGCTGCTGCTGATCTTGGGGTTTTGCCTCCAGCTGCATCTGTGACTGGGGCTCTCCCTGCTGCTGGTTCGCATTTGCTGCTGCTGCTGGAGCTGCTGCTGCTGTTTCTGCTGCAGCTGCAGGCGTTGCTGCTGGCGTTGATGCGGGCGTTGCTGCTGGCGTTGCTGCTCCTGCTGCTGCTAGCGCGTCTGCAGTGTCAGCCGCACACATGGCTCTGGACAGCAGCTGCCGCTGCTGCTGCGAGATTTGCTGCTGCTGCTGCTGCTCCCACAAGACATGCAGCAGCGTATGTCTTTTGAAGAGGTCGGTGTGTGGCTGCTGCTGCTGCTGCTGCGATCCCTGCTCGTGCTCCTGTCGCGTCTTGTCTGTGTTGCTGCTGCTCCTCCCCTTGTGGCTGCTGCTGCTGCTGCTGCTGCAGCGCATGGAGTGGCTCAGGGGTTTGCTGTTGACAAGGGCCATTTCAACTTCTTGCGTCATCTTCTGTGCTGCTTCTTCCAGGCCTAAGCAACAGCGGCAGCAGCAGCAAAAGCAGCAGCAGCAGCAAGGAAGCAAAACACCTTGAGGTTGCTGCGGAAGAAACATCTGCACCGGCTGTCGCCGCAGTAGCAGCAGCGCCAAAAGCAGCAGCAGCAACACATAAGCAGCAGCAGCAGCAACGCCCAAACAAACAGCAGCAACAGCAGCAAAGCGCAGCCACCCCAGCCACCGCTGCCACAGCAGCAGCAGCAGCAATAGCAGCAGCAGCAATAGCAGCAGCAGCAATAGCAGCAGCAGCAACTGCAGCAGCAGCGCAACGCGTCTACCACAACTGCAGCAACTGCAGCACTCATCCCCAGCCATCACCCTCACCCTCACCCTCACCAGCAGCAGCAGCAGCAGCAGCAGCAGCAGCAGACCTGGTATTTTGTCCTCCACAAAGCTCTGGAAAAGCCAGGCAGCTCTGAGGGCGAAGTGAATATAAGTGCTGCAGACGTCCAGCAAAAAGCGGTCCAGCGGAGAGCGACCAAACCTGCAGCAGCAGCAGCAGCAGCAGCAGCAGAGGGTGGTTGGTGCGGCAGCAGAGGGTGGGTAGTGGGAGATTGCGAGACTGCTGCTGTTGCTGCTGCAGCAGAAGCAGCAACAGGGCGACCGCCGGCATTAGGAACGCTAGGTAAGTAGCAGCAGCAGCAGCAGCAGCGGCAATGCGCCAGCAGCAGCAGCAGTAGCAACCTAGCAACAAAAGGAGTAACAGAAGGAGCAGCAGCAGCGGCAGTGACGCAGCAACAGCTCTAACGACCGCCGTCCTCACTGGCGCAGCAGCAGTACGGCAGCAGCAGCAACACTTCAGCAGCAGCAAAAGCACAACAGCAGCACTTCAACAGCAGCAGCACTGCCGCAGCAGCATTGCATCAGTAGCATTGCATCAGTAGCCGCAGCCCAGCAGCAGCAGCTGCAGACCAGCAGCACCCCAATAGCAGCAGCAGCAGCAGCAGCCGCAGCAGCAGCAAGATTGGACCTTTGTAGTGCGAGTTGGCAGAGTTGGGGAGGTAAGGCAGCAGCACCCCAACAGCAGCAGCAGCCGCAGCAGCCCAACAGCACCCCAACAACAGCAGCAGCTGCAACAACACAAGTAGCAACAACAGCAACAGCAACAGCAACAGCAACAGCAGCAGCAGCAGCAGACCTCTGCAGCGCGAGCTGGCAAAGCTTAGGGAGCTAGGGCAGCACCACCCCAACAGCGCTTCCAGCCCAGCAGCACCCCAACAACAACAGCAGCAGCAACAACAGCAGCAGCAACAATAATAATAATAGCAGCAGCAGGAGCAGCAGCAGCAGCGGCGGACCTCTGGAGCGCGAGCTGGCAGAGCCGCGGCAGGTAAGACAGCAGCACCCCAACAACAACAACGCCAGCAGCAACAACAGCAGCAACAATAACAGCAGCAGCAGCAGCAACAAGAACAATAGCAGCAGCAGCAGCAGCAGCGGCGGACCTCTGGAGCGCGAGCTGGCAGAGCCGCGGCAGGTAAGACAGCAGCACCCCAACAGCAACACCAGCAGCAACAACGACAGCAACACCAGCAACAATAACAGCAGCAGCAGCAGCAGCAGCAGCAGCGGACCTCTGCAGCGCGAGCTGGCAGAGCTGCGGCAGGTAGAAGTTGACTTCGGGGAGGGAGCGTTTGGCGAAAAGCAAATTGACGAGAAACTTTTGGACTTCTTCTTCGCGTTTGTGGAAAAGGTAAAAGAGGTGGAAGTGCGCGTCGAAGAGTTCCGAGCGAAACAGCCGCAGCAGCGAGTCTTCGCCCCTGCTGCTGCTGCTGCTGCTGCTGCTGCTGCTGCTGCTGCGGCGCGCGGGGCGCGGCGGGCGCGCCGGGCTGCTGCTCCGCAGGGGCGCCGCCCTGCTGCTGAAGCCGTGCAGCTGCAGCAGCCGGCTGCTGCTGCTGCCCCGGTTGCTGCTCGTCCGCCGACGGCTGCTGCTGCTGCTGCTGCTGCTGCTGCTGCTGCTGCTGCTGCTGCTGCTCGGCTCCGCGTCGCTGCACGTCGACCCGCACGTCGGAGGACGCCTCGGCATCCGCACACTGCTGCTGCTGCTGCTGCTGCTGCTGCTGCTGCGATTGCCTGGCTCGGATAAAGCAGTCCGCAGCACCTGCGGCTGCTCCGCCCCTCCTGCTGCTGCTGCTGCTGCCGCTTGGCCTGCTGCTGCTGGCGCAGCAGCGGCTGCTGCTGCGGCCTCTAACTCTGCAGCCCCAGCGTCCGTTTCAACGGAAGCCCCCCGGCTGTACGCTGCTTCTTCAGCAGCAGCAGCTGCTGCTGCTGCTGCTGCCGCCGCCGCCGCTGCTGCTGCTGCTGCCTCTGCTTTCGCTGCTGCTACGCCCGTCGCAGGCGCGTCGCCCCTAGGGGGGCTCGCAGCAGCACGGGCATCTGCTGCTGCTGCTGCTGCTGCTTCTGCTGCCGCCGCTGCGCCTACGTGGTCTCTTGGTGTTTCTGTTGCTGCTGTCCGGTCTGTCGCTGCTGCTGCTGCTGACGAAGCGTCTGCTACTGCGGCTTCTGCTGCCTTTGCTGCTGCTGGCGCAGTTTCATCAGCAGAAAGGGCAGCAGCAGTGCCACTTGCTGCTGTTGCTGCTAACGTATCTTCCCGCTTGACCTGTGGGGGGGTTGCTGCAGCAGCAGGGGCTGTTGTTGCTGCTGCTGCATCTTTAGGGGTATCGATGGCGGAACTCATAGCTGCTGCTGATGCTGCTGCTGCAGCCGCTGCAGCTGCTGCAGCTGCTGCTGTTGCTGCTGCGCTGACCACGAGGTGCTGCTCGCCGCCGCACTCTCCTTGCTGCTGCTGCTGCTGCAGTTGCTGCAGCGGCAGTTGCTGCTGCACAAATATTCAATGTAAAACGTACGACACTTCCCTTAACCAGCTGCTGCTGCAGCAGTCGCTGGCTGTTGCTGCTGCAGTTGCAGGTGCCGCAACTGGTGCTGCTGCAGTTGCTGCTGCTGCTGCTGCTGTTTAAGGCCGCATGCAATCTGCGTTGCTGCTGGCGTACTTCAGCCGCAGAAGACTTCAGCGCAAGACAGCTGCAGCAGCTGCTGCTGCTGCTGCTGCAGCTGCTCCGATTGCCAGCCGGCAGCAGCAGCAGCTGCTGCGGCAGCAGCAGCAAGAAGACTGCTGTGGATCCGCTAGAATTTGACGCTGCTGCTGCTGCTGCTGCCACCTCAGGTCAACCCGACGAGCGCGACTCATGCGATCTGCTGCTGCTGCAGCTGCTGCAGCTGCTGCTGCCGCTGCTGCTGCTGAGGGGACAAGCAGTTTCTGTCCTGTCAATTGGATATATAAATATTAAACTCAAAATTCTATGGGGGAAGAACAGCAGACCAACGACTGCGTCCTATGTTGCTGCTGCAGCAGCCGGTATGCTGCAGCTGCTGCTGCTGCTGCTGCTGCTGCTGCATGCGACTTTGCGCAGCAGCTGCACAAGGTGTCTTGCCAGTGTGCTGCATGTCTTCTATTTCAAATCAAGAACAATTCTCAGCAGCCCTTGCCCCACGTACTGCTGCTTGTGCTGCAGCAGCAGCAGCAACAGCAGCAGCGGCAGCAGCAAGGGCAGCGGCAGCAGCAGAGGCAGTGCCAGCAGCAGCAGCGGCAGCAGCAGCAGGCCGAGATGCTACCCTGCAGACACCGTAGATAGCGGTAAGCCCCTGGCGTTGCTGCAGCAGCAGCACTGCTGGTAGCAGCAGCAGCAGCAACAGCAGCAGCAACGGCTGCCAAGATGAGAGGGAACCTGCACAAGTCTCTTTTGCTGCTGTTGCTGCTGCTGCTGAGAGCTGAAGCTGCGGCGCC